TGATGGCCTTACTATACTGGAAATAGATGATGCTAAAGGACTAAATGATAAAATGAGATACGATGAGGATAATCAGAAAGAAATACTGCTGAGACAGAGGAAAAGGAACGAAAGGTGAAGAATGGATTAAAACTTGGATAAAATAAATAAATGGGTGCTGGCATCATCGAATTTTGGAAAGAGGCTCGCAGATAATAAGAACTAAATACAATTAGAGAAATTATGTTTAGGGGATATTGTCAAAAGAAGAAATAAAAAAAGTAGACAGATGAAAGAGAGTCTTTAGGAATTTTTTCAAAAGATGAAATAAAACTGTTATTACACTAAACTTTTTTGTAGTATTTTATCTAATATATTGCTATTTCTTGCATCCTATTTTATGAATTTAATATTGTTGTTGTTTTTCATAATTATTTTAATTTTAATGCATAATAACTCGAAATAGATGCTCAAATCTTTTAATCTTTATTATAAATTTAATTGTTATGAAATATTTACTATGAATTTATCAAGAGCTTTTCCAAAATATATCTGTTCTGATATAGTCTTACCATTTAAATCCCTTTACCAATATTTTATATTTTATATCTATTTCTCCTTTTTCGCTTCTCCCAACCAAATACTCTCTTATTAGAAAATAAAATATCTTCAAAGAAACATGGACAAGTTATTAGATAAACTTTTTCACTAAAATCAGAAGTTATTTATATTTAAAATAGTCAAAGAATTCATTAAATATTATCAATTCTATTATAAGATTTAAGTAGTAATCTTGTAATTCACTTCATTATTCAAACCACTTAACTATCCTTTTATGAAATTTATGATAATTCAATTTACCTTAAAAATTGTTTATTAAAATCTTAAAATTTCAATCACACCAAGTGAACCCACCTTACTCAAAGTATCATGAAACAATTATAAAATAAACTCAATAAATTTAATGATTGATAGAAGAATCACTTTAAGTATAGGAGTAGGCGCATTTAAGGATTAAAACATTTTAAGTAAATCTATTTCCCTTAATTTATTGAATACTCTCATATAATCCAGTTTGGAAAAGATTTGATTATTAATGTATCCATTCTTTAAATTCTATTTAAATTTACATAATCATCATTTCCAGTAAACACTCAAATCATTAAATCTATCTCATTAGTTTGTGAATCCCTTTCCTAATAAAGCAAATATTATTATTAAAGTAAAATTGTTAGCAAGAAGAATTGAGTTATATAAAAATTATATTCAGAGTTAACTATAGAAATAATTTCAAGAATTCTTGAACAATTCGAACTTGAATTCACTAAATTCATGAAAAATTAAAGCAATTATATGAAAAAACGAAATTCAATCTATCAACCATAAAATTATGATAATAGAAGGTATTTAAGAGTTAATAAATTTCGTTTATTTAAGTAGAAAATCTACTTAAATCAAAAAAACTAAAAGTTGTAATTGAATAAAGTTTAATTAAATATATGAAAGAATTCCATTTTTCATTTCGTTATTCTATTCCTTTCAAATTTACTTTACTAGGTTCTATTAACTTTGTCTTAAATACTTTTTATATAGGTATTAGTTTGTTTCATATAAATTTGCTCTAATAGCACGGCCGAACTGTATATTAATTTTACTTTAATATTTTTCATTCATTTTTCAATTTTAATTTTAATAATAATAATAATATTGTTTTCGTTAAAAATTAATAAATATATTCCATAAATAAGGATTTGATATTTTAAAATATAGAATAAATAAAGTAATTATTTGAAGCCTACAGTAAAATCATCCTTTCATCAAATTTAAAAATATTAACATATTTTTGAAGAAATTTCAATCATTAAAAGATAAAACAATAGCTAAGGTTGTTTAAATACAGATAATTTCACTTCTTTTAAGGTTTCATGTTATATAAGGATTTTAGATCACAAATCAAAGATATATCTGAATGAGAATATTTAAGAAATCCATACATATATAAATATGACTATCAATAAAATTAAACTATTAGATGATTATTCACATAAGTTATTTTCAATTATTTTGATTACCATTTATTAGAAAGTTATTAGACTAAGATAGGAATGATCTTAAAAATAAACTCATACTTAAGTTTTTGAGAGATTTATAAATTGAATATCAATATCGGACTAAAGAGAAGAAATCACATTTGGCTTATCATCAGGAAATACTTGAAATATTAATTATTAATCACCTTAGAAAAATAAAGAATTAAATTATATTACTAAAGGATTCAAAAATTCTAAATAGGATGTTACAATTTTTCATCTATCTTAAATACTTAATTTAGTAATATATATTTTCTATATTTTATTAAATCTATTTTTATTAATATTTAACAAATAATTCTTATGGTAGTATAAGCAAAAACTAAAATTAATCAATAAACTTTGGATTGCAATCCTAATCAAAAGAATTTTGATTCTACAGATTTCAATAAATATGCATGTCTTTTTATTTTAGATACAAAATCAGCATTTTGATTTCATATAGTTCCTATTTTATTCTAAATACTAAAAAATATCATAGTTTAAGACATTCTATATGTGGTTTTTATTAAAGAACTAATTAATTATATTTTTGGAAATGGATTTGTATTCTCATTAAAAAAAATAATATCTTTAGATAGAAATGAACTAATCTAAAACTTTTCTAATTGCTTTGATAAACTTGTGAGATTTATTTATTCGAAATTTCTTATGAATAAACAAATGTTAAATCAGTGATATATATTTTAATTTACAATATTTTCTTTAGAAGATTAAATTAATATTTTTGAAATCTAAAAATTAATTTAAAAGTAATCAGTTTAACAGAATTCATGTTTAGCTTAATAATAAATAATATAATATTGCTTACTATATATATAGAGGAAAATATTTTTCGCACGACTATTTGGAAAGGATGTGATAAACTATATATCAAAAGAATATAAGAGAGTCAAGAAAAATGGTTCAAAGATCTTGAGATGATTGAACAATATAGCAGTACTGGAAAAAAGGGATTATGAGTACTTATGAATGAGGCTTAAGGACTCAACAGGAATAAGGTGATGGCCTTACTATACTG